TATTAGTCTGTGCAATGTGTTATACAAAATAGCATCCAAGGTAATTGCAAATAGACTGAAACTCATTCTGCCAGACATTATCTCTGAGGAGCAGTCCGCTTTCGTCCCCGGAAGGTTAATTACTGACAACATAATTTCAGCTTATGAGTGTCTGCATTTTATGAAGCGGTCTAGATCAAAATCAAATAATTTTTGTGCACTGAAATTGGACATGATGAAGGCCTATGATCGGGTAGAGTGGACATATTTGAGGGCTATCATGACTAAACTTGGGTTTGCAGGACAGTGGATTGATACTGTGATGAGCATGGTGTCTTCGGTATCTTTCTCGGTTATGTTCAACAGAGAGAAGCTCGAATCGTTCCAACCATCGAGAGGAATCCGACAAGGAGATCCAATCTCCCCCTACTTATTCTTGATTGTAGCAGAGGGCCTTTCGTGCCTCCTTAAATCTAGTTCTTCGTCATCGTTTGCAGGTATTCAAGTGGCCCCAACGGCTCCCACCGTTAACCACTTGTTGTTTGCAAATGATAGCATGTTGCTATTCAAAGCCAATGTAGAGGGTGCAGGTGTGGCATCAAACTTGCTTGAGACCTACTGTGCAGCTTCGGGGCAGAGAATCAACCATGAGAAGTCTTCAATTTTCTTCAGCAAGTCGTGTCAGGCTGCCTTGAAGGAATCAATAAAAAACACCTTGCATGTGCACAAGGAGACTTTGAATGAACGCTATTTAGGCATGCCAACCGATGTGGGACGCTCGAAAAATGGCACGTTCAAATACTTGAGAGACCGGGTTTGGGAGAAGATCAAAGGATGGATGGAGAAGCTTTTGTCCTCAGCAGGTAAAGAAGTGTTAATCAAGGTTGTGGCCCAAGCTATACCAGTCTATTCTATGTCCTGTTTCAGATTGCCAAGAGGCCTTTGTGAAAATATAACTTCAATCATACGACAATTTTGGTGGGGAAGCAAGCAGGGGAGAAGAAAGCCCGCATGGGTGGCTTGGGATATTATGACAAGCCCGAAAAGCTTGGGAGGATTGGGATTTCGGGATATGGAGATCTTCAACTTAGCTCTCCTAGCACGGCAAGCTTGGAGGCTGCTAACGGGGGAGCTCAGCTTAAGTGCCAGGATTTTAAAGGACGTTTATTTTTCGGAGGTTTCTATTCTTGAGGCGGAGCTTGGGTCACGCCCTTCCCAGGTATGGCGCTCGATCATTGACGGTCGGGATGTTTTGATACAAGGTACTGTGAAGAGGATTGGAGATGGCGAGTCCACTTATATCTGGAGACACAACTGGATACCGAGGGAAGGAGTAAGAAGACCTATCACATCGCTAACGCAAAACCCTCCAGTTATGGTCTCCGAGCTTATAGACAGTACCACGGCATCGTGGAAGGAGGGGTTGATTCGAGCAACCTTTGCTCGTTTTGATGCCGACGATATTCTGAAGATACCACTGTGTACTCGCAAGGTTGCGGACTTTTGGGCTTGGCAGGAAGAACCAAAAGGAAATTTCAGTGTTCGATCCTGTTATCGCATGATTCTCAGAACGAAGCTCGAACGGGAGGCCTGGATGAGCGGAGAAGCGGGAACATCTATTGTGCAGCAGGAGGCGGATAAGTGGAGTACCATTTGGCACATGCAGGTTCCATCGAAACTTCGCATGTTCGTTTGGAGATTGGCGAGAAACTCCATGCCCACTATTGATTTACTCAAGCATCGCAATATGGCTACCGAGGACAAGTGCCCTTTGTGCGGGGCGGCTGACTCTTGGAGACATGCACTCTTTATGTGTCCGATGTCAAGCAGTGTTTGGGCCTTAGCTCCGGAGGATTTGGTCAATCATCTTGTGTATAGAGTGGAAGAACATCCCAAGGATTGGCTTTTTGCTATGAGTGGAGTTTTGAACAGAGATATGTTTGCACACATGATTGTTATTATGTGGGCGATTTGGCGAGCCCGAAGGAAAACGATCTATGAGGACATCTTCCAATCACCGCAATCTATTTATGGATTTATCACAAGCTTTCTTGATGACCTGAGATATATTAAGGCAAGTGAACCTCGAAGGACCATTGTCAAAGCTACAAGGCCAACCCAGTGGCAGGCTCCGGCCACGGGATGCGTGAAGATCAATGTGGACGCGGCCGCACCAAGGCAGGCTCGCTTCGGGGTTGTGGGTGCAATCTGCAGAAGTTCAGATGTTCTGTTTTTGGGAGCTTCTGCGCTGATCATGGAGCATATTGGGGATCCGGAAACGCTAGAGGCCATGGCGATAAGGGAGGGACTTGCACTTGCGGAGGACTTGTACCAAAGGCGCATTCATGTTGCATCGGATTGCAAGAAGGTAGTAGACTCCCTGAAGAAGGAGGACGCATCTCCATATGGTGCTATTGTACATGAAATTTTAAGCCATTCTATAACTTTCGATATGTGTAAGGTTAGCCATGAATTTAGGAGCTCAAATTATGAAGCTCACAACTTAGCGAAGCATGCTCTATCTTTCGGGGGTGGACGCCATGTGTGGTTAGGCCATCCCGGAGATCTTTCTTTCGTCCCTGTAAACATTGTGACGAATCAATAAAAAGCTTCGTGAGTTGTCTCAAAAAAAAAAAGATGTGAGATCCGGCAGGTGTGGGAAACCCGTTAGGACGGGCAGGGAGACACGCGGCCCTCATTCGCGGCGCCCGGACCAGCTCGCCAATCTGGAAGAACCCCAGGTGCTTGTCCGAAAGATGCCCACCCGACAATGGAGCATAAAATTCCCCAACCTCGCAATCGCCTCCATTCCGGCAGATGAAACCCTAGGACCCGATGGCCTAGCCACCATTCCCAGACACAGCCCGCCCGCCGCCGCCGCCATGCCGCCGTTCCGGCGCTGGGCGGATCTGCCGGCGGACCTCCTCTGCCGCATCGGCGACAGCCTCGACCTCAAGTGCTACGCCAGCGCGCGGGGCGCCTGCACGGCCTGGCGATGCGCGCTCTCGCCGCCGTCCCCGTCGCTCCTCGTCGTCCTCGACGACGCCAGGTGCTGCCCGTCCGCCGCGTCGCTCCCCACCCACCGCTCCTTCGAGCTCAAGAACATCCTCTCGGGGGGCCGATGCGTCGGCTCCAGCAACGGCTGGCTCGCCCTCTCCGTCTGCCTCTACGGCGGCCAGAGCATGTTCAGCCTCTTCAACCCCATCACCGCCACGGAGATCCTTCTGCCGCCGCTGATCTACGAGAGCCGCTGGGTCTCCAAGCTCGTCTTCGCGCCCAACCCCGCCAGGGACGACTTCGCCGCCGCCGCCATCTGCGACATCGACAGGCTCGCCTACGTCACCGCGGGGGCCAGGAGGTGGGCCATCCTCGATCCCGTTCGCCTCTCCAGCGGAGATCAGCTCGCCGATGTCGTCTACCATGAAAAAGGTAGGGTCTACTGCCTCACCCGCTATGGAGATGTCCACGTGCTCCGCCTGCCGGAGCGCCGCCGCAGGAAGCCTATCGTCGTCGAGGATCCAGCTGGCCCATCAGAGCCAGAGATGCCTTTAGGGCGTCCCTCACTCAGTCTTCAGGGAAGAAGACAGCGCAACTTGCGCATGCTCTGCTATGAACATCGTAGATGGAGAGAGCAGCAGCTTCCAATTGCTACAATGAAGGCTGCCTTCTGCCCAGATGTGTTTATGCCTCTTAGGAGAGTTCCTCCTGGATCTGTCGGACCGGATCTAAATGCACCGGCCACAGTCGAGCCCATGTTGTCTGAGTGCAACCTACCGTTCGACCCTGCTACCTGTTTTGCCGCGCCATACAACACGGTGTCGGTTTTTACTAGTGCCAAGAACCTGGTGTTCTGCGACGGTAATCTGTATCAAATCTGGAGGAATGCAAGCTGCACGGTTACTTTGCAGCTGCCAGGAGGCGGTCACCGCCGTGTAGCCGAGAATGAAATACTTGTTCTCAGGTATTATCCCCGGCGCCAACCATGCTGGGATGCCGTGACGGACTTGGGAGGCTACTCGGTGTTTGTTGGGAGGAACAATGCGGTATCGATGTATGCTGAAGATGTTCCAGGACTGAAGGGTAATTGCGTGTATTGGATCGGCGGGAGGGGCAGGGATCAGGGCATGGTCTTTGACATGGGGACTGGGAGGTCTACACCTTGCCTTCCCGTTGCTGGTGCTGGTGTCGTTCCGGGGCCTCCACAGAGCACAATCTGCTGGTACTTTCTCAGCGACATAGTGAATAACTGCAACATAAGTGCACGAAGAAAAGTTTATCAGACCCGGGCAAGGGTCCGGGCTGAACGTGAGCAAGATTTGGAGGATTGATGCGTCGCCAAGCAGATTGGCGACATAGTGAGCACCACCGGCCACATCGGTGGAAGTTATGTTTATCATGCCTGAGCAAGAGCCTCTCATATGGAGAGGCACTGAAGAGTTTATCATGCCTGAGCAAGAGCCTCTCATATGGAGAAGCACTGAAGAACTGGCAGTGTAATTGCCTATTGTAGCCAATAGTTTGTTTTAATTCATCTGTTTCCTAAAATAATTTGCTTCAGTACTGTTGTTGGTTTGTACTCTAGTCCCTATCATCTTTTGTGTGTTTATGTCCTGTAATGTAATAATCGATGTTTGTAAAACTTATGTTCATCATATTATGATGGAATAAGAGAGGAGGATTTTCAGATATTTGCAACTTGGAATTGTTGTTTAATCGCTGTATGCATGACATGTTCTTCTGAAGCTCGTTTTGTATACTTCAAAACTGCTCACTGACTTGTTCTACTGAAGCTCTTTTTGTGCTTCAAAGCTGCTGGCTGAATAAACAAGCGAATCACACAGGCGTCTTATTTCTATTTATTCTGTCAATGTCATGACAATCACACAAATATACACAACAGGCACGAAATACATGGTAACAGATGGTCTGAACTCAGAATATCACAAACCGAAGTGCTTCTCCAGTCAAAGATCATATAGCAACTTCAGAGTATGGTGGTGTCCGTGGATGAAAGGTACAAACTACAGCGCCTGCAGCGACCTCACAACTTGATACATGTCCGGCCTCTGGTCAGGCTTCACCGACGTGCAGCGCACCGCGAGCTCCAGGGCAGCCTTCATGCCCTGTTGCTCCGTGTGGGGAATGCTGGGGTCGAGTATCTGCGATGCGCCGTCGATCAGGTTGATCCGCCTCCGCACCCAGCTAACAATGTCCGAGCAGTCCTTGGACGCCGGCTGCTCTGCTGGCCTTCCGGTGATCAGCTCCAGGAGAATGACCCCAAAGCTGTAGACGTCCATGAGGTTCGTTGGGCTCTTTGTGAAGTTTTGCTCTGGTTTCACGAAAACAGAAGAGAACTTCAGTAAAAATTTATGCAGCCATAAATCTATTCAATGGTAATAGCACCAACTCTACCTTCTTGATATGTAGCCATAAAACAAATTGGTAACAAGGCGAACACCTTGCAAATGCATAGGATAGGGTGCCAGGCTCTTCAAAACCTGGTGTACTGATTCAACTACACTACAGAAATGCATACCTGGCGCGATGTAGCACTTGTCATTCAAATCCGAATCCAAGGAAGATCGGTACGCCTTTTCCCCAACGACACGATGAATCCCAAACCCAGCAACCCTGGGCTCAAATTCATCGGCAAGTAGCACATTGCTCGACTTCAGATCGCGGTGCAGCATGCGAGGAGTATAATCATGATGAAGATATGCCAATCCTTGAGCCACTCCCAGTGCAACCTTCAACCTGTCGTTCCATCCCACCGCGAATTTCGGCGCACAGATCATATCCTGTAAGCTTCCTCTCTGAAAGTATTCATATATGACGCTGACCTCCCCTTCCGAGTAGCAGAAGCCTGCAATCTTGGCAATATTCTTGTGCCGGATTTTCGCCAGCGCTTTCATCTCGTTCTTCACTTCTCTGAATGTCAGCTTGGCTGAACTGAACAGCCGCTTCACCGCGACTTTTTGCCCGTCTTGTAACACGATCAGATAAACCTTTCCAAATGCTCCTCTTCCGATCACATTCTTGTCGTGGAACGCGGCGAACAAGTCCTCTCCGGTGATCTTGATTGGGTGGAAAAGCACCAGCTTCCATGGGGAGGAGGGCCTGTTGCCACGTATCCTCCTGCAAACTGCAAACACCCCTACTGCCAACAGAGCCAATCCTGTAACGAAGGAGGCCACCGTCGCAGCCAGTGCTAGGCCCTGATGCTTTCTCAATGGCGCATCGCAATCGCTCGGCAACCCTGGACCGCACAGGCCTGGGTTCCCCTCAAGAAACACGGCGGGAAGGCCGGAGACCAGCTCCGGAGGCACGCGGCCGGAGAGCCGGTTGTACGAGACGTTGAGCAACGCAAGCTTCAGGTTCTGGAGCTCTGCCGGAATGGCGCCGGTGAGGCCATTGCTGGACAGGTCGATGTAGGTCAGCACCGGCAAGTCCCCAAGAGAGGCTGGTATCGTCCCGGTGAGACCGTTGCTGGACAAGGACAAGGATACCAGCCTCTTGCAGTTCTTGAAGTCGGGGATCGAGCCGGAGATGGCATTGTGGGAGATGTTGATGATGCTCATCGCCGGGGAGTCGCACAGGTTGTCCGGCAGGCTGCCGTTGAGCTCGTTCAGTGAGGCGGAGAAGCGGTACATGGTGCGGATCAGGCCGATGCTCTGAGGTATCGCGCCGGAGAAGCTGTTGTTGTCAACCTGAACCTGCTCCAGCCGAGACACGCCGCCGGGGAACTCGGGCAGCCGGCCGGAGAAGCGGTTGTTCTCGGCGCGGATGACCTGCAAGTCCGGCAGAGACCAGAGGCCGGCGGGGAGCTCCCCGGTGAACGCGTTGCCCTGCACCTCGAACCTCTGCAGCATGAGGCACTTGTCGACGCCGTTGGGGAACGGCCCAGAGAAGCCATTGCGCGACAAATCCAGGGACAGCAGCTTCTGAAACTTGAGGCCGAACCCCGGAGGAACGGGTCCGGTCAAGCTGTTCATGGACAGATCAAGAGCCTCCAGCTGCTCCAGCCTAAGGAAGGTCTCGGGTATCTCGCCGCTAAACCCTGACCCCTGCAAGAAGAGCCACCTGAGGCTGGCCATCCCGCCGAGCTCCGGCGGCAGCTGGGACTCCAAGAACTGGTTGCCGGACAGGTCCAGGTAGTGGAGGCTGGTGAGGTTGCGGAAGAGCGCCGGGTGGAGCACGCCGGAGAGGCGGTTGCCGCGCAGGTCGAGCACCTGGAGCGCCCGCAGCGCGGCGAGGCCCGGCGGCACGGTCCCCTCGATGTCGTTGCCGCTAAGGTCGAGCGACGTGAGAGAGGCGAGCGCCGCGAGCTGCTCCGGCAGCGGGCCCCAGAAGGCGCCGGAGCTGAGGTTGAGGGCGGCGAGCGAGGCGCAGCGCGAGAGCTGCAGCGGGACGGTCTGGTTGAAGGCGTTGGACGCGAGGCTGAGGCCGGCGAGGCCCGGGACGCGGCAGAGCGCGGTGGCGTTGATGTCGCCGGAGAGGCCGAGGCCCTGGAGCTGGAGCGAGACGGCGACGGGCGAAGAAGCGGAGGAGGAGGAGTCCGTGCAGGTGACGTGCGACCAGTTGCAGTAGGGCGTGGAGCTGGACCAGGTGGCGAGGGCGCCGGCGGGGTCGTGCAGGGAGGCCTTGAAGCTAAGCAGGAGGTCGTGTACCGGCTGCTCTGCTTCTGCTTCCACCGCTGCCGCTGAGGACGAGGAGATGATCAGCGGCGACAGGAGGAGCAGGAGGAGAGGCAGGCAGGCGTCGCCGGTGGTTGCCATGGACGTGGATGTGGAGGGAGCCGGGCGGCCGGCCGGCGAGGTGCGGTGCATGAACGAGTGAGTGAGTGTAGGCAGGAGCAGAGTGGCCGAGCGAGCTACGGACGGACAGCGCGTGCTGTTGCTGGTCAATGGCTGGCTGTATTGCGGGGCAGAGTATTTTTCACTGCGGGTTGGATGGACTATACGGACGGACTTTATTGTAGAGTAGCAGCACGTAGGCGCGGGATTGACATGTGCTTTCCACCGCGGGCTGTGCAGGGATTTGTTTTTTGGTAGGCTAAGTCAGGTTGGACGGGGCAGCTTTTGCATTATTATTCGCCGTGGAGCTATTGGACGGGGCACGGGCGCTTTTGGACTTTGGAGTGGCGCCCTTGTCCTTCCTGTTGGACGCGATGTGACGAGTGAGTTATCACGGGACGACACGGAGTGGTAGTTGCCGTCAACTCACTCGAGTGATGCGGATAGAAATGGACCGTGGGAGTCTGATCTCGCTTTCCAGGATCGTTGCCTAGGGAAGTCAGGATTCGACTGGAGCATCACGGCCTCTGCAACGACCACACTCTACAGTCTCTACTCGGAGAGTGGATTTTGCTTTCGTCTAAGATCTATCTGCCTCCGTCATAAGCCAGGCAGATAGTGCGTGAGTGGTTAGACCAGTGTCACAAAGTTAACTTTCAATCATGGCCCAAATGAAAGTTAACTTCAATTATTGGGCAGAAACAAGCAAGTAAAGGCAGTAAAAAAAACTGTCTTGGTATTATAATCCCTAAAATGGTCAACACCATGGAAATCCTATCAGCATAAGCCACAAGTCTAGTCCAAACAAGAGAGAATAATACTCAGCTGAAAGACAGTAAGACAGCAGAGATGTTTGTTACCTTTCAGTAAGACAACAGAGATGCTTGGACTTGTGCTACCCGTGAGCTTTCCCTGGTTCCAAGATGAGAATGTACCCTCTTTGGATAAAATATGTACACTGCCACACCTACTACATTACATCCCGGATCAATGGACAGGTGTTACATGCATGATCACTACATACAGAAGTGGAAAATCATACAAGAATGGCATAGTATTAGAACTCCTGGAGAAGAAAGAATACACAATCACACAGTTTAACAAGAATTCCATGGAAGCTGGCATAATCTATCAATAATAAATAATGTTCATATGTGCCTAACATTCTACAACATCATTTTTTGACATTTCTCCACTCCCACAAACTCAACATAACCAGCACAGCATGAATGCCTCTCCGATGGGGGAACACACAAAATCACTCACAGAATATGGCTCAAATATTCAGTTCCATAAAACCAGCCACTCACTAAGCTCTGCAACTAAATAGTATTTACCAAACGAGGCTAAACTATGAAATGGCCAGGAATTTTGAGCTATCTCTGTGAGTTTCATCAGAACCAACGAGGCATGCTGTGGCTGAGCTAATCAAACGTTTGCAGTCGCACCAACATCCTGTTTTGGCTCGGTGCGTGTGTAGGTGAAGCTTCGTGTTACCGGAGTTACCATCTGACTCCCAGGTGTTACAGGTGTAGCTTGACTTGGTTTTCCGGCATCAACCGAATCAGCAGCGCCGCGCTTCCATTGAAAACTCCGAGCATTACCTCTGATAGCTAAACGTCCACGCATAGCCCCAGGGAATGTCGGCCTTGGGTATGCGGTTCTAACGAGCCTGGAAGCAAATGGTGATGCACGAACACCACGTGACCAGCCAGGCTGCTGAGGCACTTCAACAGAGCTTTTTCGAACAACCTGCAGCACACCATTATATATAGTTAACAGATATGCACGACAAGTCATGAAAAGTACTCCACGTGAACACTCGAAAGTGCAAAATCTTCTGAATTGCTCGAATATACTTTCTACTTCCATATTTATTGATAGGCTATGATCGCATGCATGCAAGACAGAAAACACTAATGAGCATACTGATGAAAGAATGGTCCAACTAATGGAGCTTCCAATAAAGACAAAAGTATATTATCATTTTGATGTTCAATACCTAATTGTACTAGAGCAACTCAATCATGAATGTCATCCAAAAAAGTTCCAACAGAACCTATCAAAAAATAGAACTTAGGTCAAGGAAGTTTTACCTTCAAAATGCGTGACATAAAAGATGTTCCATTCAGCGTTAGCGCCTTCTCTGCTGATTCTTTTTCCAAGAATTCGATGTATGCTGAGCTGATAAGACAAAAAGATATTAAAAAACACAACTTAGGATATTACTAAATAAATGATGATATTTTGGACTGTTCAGAGGGGAGTAAGAATTCACACCCTGTTGGCTGACCAGTGGCACCATCAGATACAATAAGAGTTTTTAGCACAGCCCCAAACTTGTTGAAATGACAAGAAAGACCATCTTTTGTTGCGCCAAAATGTACCTAAAAAAGCCCAATAAAACAATCACTGGTGACACAGAAACTCTTCTCTTCATAACCAGAAGGGTAAAAGAAAAAAAAATACTTACATTGCTAACAAAGACAGTTCTAGAATCAGGGGCGCTTTCAGGTTGGCCTGTAGATCCACCAGCTGAAAATAATAACAAAAAAAAAGAATTTGCTTAACAAATGAGTGGGTAGAAAACCTACAGAGCTAACATGTTAACTTAACAGGGTAAAAAAAATCATACCACAATAAAGATATCTAAAAGAAAATTGGTGCAGAAACTTTCCATGAAATAAAGGATGTGTTGAATGATCAACTACGGTTATTAGTTCGTAGTAGTAAAGGCAATGGTATGGTTCTAATAAGCTATAAGGGTCCGTTTGGAAAACTGATTTTTTGCAGGAATTTTAGAGGATATCAATATCATAAGAAAGTTTTCCCTTTTGGGGCCTTTGGAATACAGGAACATGAAATAAGATTCCACAGGATTGGGTTTCTACCCTTCACGCTTCACAGGAAAATAAACATCCAGTCATATCTAATGGAAAATTTCCTGGCGTGAAAACAGAGCTTCAAGGCGCTTCCACCGCTGCCTTTCGCTTGTTCGCGTGCACCAAAAGCCACAAGGGAGAGGCAGGGGGCCTGCGTATATGGGCGTCTGTGGCATCAGGTGGCGGCTGAGTAAGAGGGGCAAGCAGGACTCGTGACAGGGGGCGACGACCTGCAAGCGTGGGAGGCGGCGACGGCAGCGGATGGTGAGAAAGGCATGACCCGTGTTATATGTGCCTGACTAATTTAGACATGATACCTATTTTAATACCATGATTCAACTGTACAAAATTCTCAGATTGGATTAGCGCGAATTTGTTGGGTGGGATTAGCAGGTCACATACAACCACAACTCGCCTGACTGTTGGAGGTCAATCTCTTCGATGCATTGGATGACTTGATACGGCCACATCAATCATTAGCAACATTAATCCAATTGTTGATCAAGTGATGTTTCTGTTAAGCCAAATCTGGAGATTGTTGATAAGAATTACAAAGTTGAGGGGGAGCTAATTATTGTGACATGTGCGTGTATTTATCTGGAAGAATTGACTGCTAGATATTTTGCATGGGAATCAGGAGAAGTTGGAGTCCCTAACTATGTCATGGACCTTAGTAATGTCAAAAGGGATTTGTTTTCTTGGAGCCAGGTACAAGTGCATGCAAACCAAATAGATAAGAAGCAGAAACGAGTCCATGGCTACTACTACTACTTTGGAAGGTCACGGCCACCAGATCAGCTATATGTGCTCGCTCGGAGTCCTCGTCGAAGGATTTGATGTGCTTGTGCTGCAGGATGGAGTCCACCTGCAGGTGTGTCTTTGTTAGGTCAAAAGTGTCGTTTGTTTTCTCGATGATCTGTAATGGTTATGTGCCAGAAAATATAAGGCATGTAATCTAATTATTTTAGAAAGTATAGTTTATTTTTTGTAAAGTTTGAGTTGGCCAGCTTGCAGCTCAAGATGGCCATCTCCGATTTAAGGTCTGGTCGGTGCACCATGTAACGCAGGTTATATTTTATGAATAGACATGATGTGCTTTTAGGGTAAATACCCGTATCGAGTTTTGAGAGAAGCTGTAAAAAAATCCCTAAGTTTTGGAAGAAGCTTCAGAAAACCACTGTTGTGATTTCTCTGCGAGGAAATTGTTTTGCGAGTGAGTACCATCGTCGAGATTGGTTTTCTCGCGCAAAAACTTCAGGTTCAATCGCTCTACTTCACGTACATCGCGTGCACGGGCTAGAGGTTGCTGTTGCTGAAGGTGGAGTGCCGTGAAAGATCGGGCCGCAACAACAGATCGGATCTCATCATCAAGGTTCGGTAAGTATCATCACTTGATTGTTGTACTAAACATTCTAGCCTGCAAATGGCATTGTGAAGGCATATGTTCACATATGCAAGGAAAACGAGGCTAGTTGTTAAAGAAGAAAGCCAGCGGCTTAATTGTCATGGGCAGTGGCCTAGGTCTGAAACTCGGAAAGTTTCACATGTTTTTCCTATCCAACAATCCAAACATCTATTTTTCTCAATTCATGTGTTTTCTATTCCCATAGAATTTGTGAGGCATGCCATCTCAATTCCTAGGTTTTCCCGATTTCTACGTTTTTCCCATCATATGCTCCAAACGGGGCCTAAGAGTTTCCACAAGGACATTCCGTTCAGATGATTAAGGTGGTCAATTTATAGCAATGAGCACTTGAGCAACACATGCTTTACATACCAACTGATGAAGCCTTCGCTGCCTCCAACAATGAACTTGAGTGCACCAAGTCCTGCAATGTAATTTTAAAAGTAAGGTTAGTATTATATAACAGCTATAGACATATGGCCCTTTAAGGTGATATTTACTGGACCTGCACATTCCCCTACCCTGGGGATCCCTCACAAAACAACACAGAAAATACAATTGTTGCACAAATGGGGTGCGGGCACAGAAGACAAACAGAGAAGCAAATAATACATAAATGATGTAGGCAAATATACCAGCGCTGCTTATGTTCCAACAAACCTATCAGATCTGTTGACCTGTCCGTATAATGTGTGTTACAACAAAATTACGATAAGATATCCAGCATGAAAATCATAGATTCTACT